TCCTACTTCCATTGTGTTCAACAAGTTAAGCACTTGTAAAAAGAGTTTGCCGAAGGACTAAGAAAACAGCGAAATGCTATCTCTTCTTGATCTCTCAACGTTAACCTCAGAGCTCGGACACACAAGCAAACATTAACACACAATCACACACACCATTGAAAATAAACACACAATGTAGGAAAACGTGGACACACACACATCATATAAAATGAGTGACACTGCCAGCTGCATACACCTGATCCCTGGATCCCCCCTTCAGAGAAAGAAAGAAAGAACGAAAGAAGAAGAGAAGAATGAGAGAGTGATAAAAACACCGATATCCATAACTTGTGAAGTGGCAGGTGATGTGTCAGACAACTGGCTGAGTGTTTTTCTTTCTGCCAGGGCACTGGGATCGGAACATTTTGCCCTCTGAACCCCATGTGTGCCCCAAATGGTGCCCTATACCCTACATAGTGCACTACTTTTGACCAGAGCCCTTTGTAGTGCACAATCTAGGGAATAGGGTGCCATTTGGGCCGCGTCCGCAGTCTGAACCCCAGTCTGAATCCTAGAGAGACAGTGGCAGTGACTAATGTCCCAGTGTGTCTGTGGTGTTGTGTTTAGATCGTTTACAGGGCGCTCTGTTTTACTCATTACGGGTGTGAAGGGTCCCCCAGGGAGGAGGAATTTGTCCGAAAGCAGTGTTTATGAAAGGGGATATATTTATGAATGAGTCAATGTGCCTTTAAAGTGTTGGGGAGCCGCTGTGCTGCAGGAGAGAGAACATGAGTGGATGAGAGACACTGACCGACTGTCCGCCATCAGTCATGGAGAATGACCACAATAAAAACATGTTCTATGCTCAATTTGTTTTGTGTCTGTCTGTGTGTGTGTGTGTGTGTGTGTGTGTGTGTGTGTGTGTGTGTGTGTGTGTGTGTGTGTGTGTGTGTGTGTGTGTGTGTGTGTGTGTGTGTGTGTGTGTGTGTGTGTGTGTGGTAGACGTGTTTAACTATTCTTGTGGGGACCAGAAGTCCAACTGGGGACATTTTGTTAGTCCCCACGAGGTTAAATGCTATTTCTAGGGGATTTAGGGTTAAGGTTAGAATTAGTGTTAGGGTTGGAATTACCTTAAGGGTTAGGGTTAGGAGCTAGGGTTAGTTTTAGGGTTAGGAGCTAGGGTTAGATTTAGGGTTAGGGTTTTGGGTTAAGGTAAGGGTTAGGGTAAGGGTAAGGGTACGGGATAGGGTTAGGGTTAGGTTCAGGGTTAGGGGTTAGGAAAAATAGGATTTTGAAAGGAACTGAATTGTATGTCCCCACAAGATTAGCTGCGCAAGACTGTGTGGCTGTGTGTGTGTGTGTGTGTGTGTGTGTGTGTGTGTGTGTGTGTGTGTGTGTGTGTGTGTGTGTGTGTGTGTGTGTGTGTGTGTGTGTGTGTGTGTGTGTGTGTGTGTGTGTGTGTGTGTGTGTGTGTGTACAGGAATGGGGTGGGTGGATGGCAGATTGTTCCACTTATTTTTCTTGGAAAACAAAACATATCTTATTGCAGGAAGAACTGTAATCTTAAATATGGATATTTGAAATATTAATGAAAGAGTGGAAGTCCTGAATGAATTTCGGTAAAGAAGGGCAGTGGATGGTCACTTGGGACATTGCCATCTTGTCTTGTCTGAGTCATTGCTCTGTTGGCTTGAGTTCCTTTTGTTTAACACAATTATAGTATCTCAGTGTTTCTTAATCCTGGTCCTAGGGACCTAAATGGGTGATTGAAATGATCAACTCATCATCAAACTTTGATGATTTGAATCAGGTGTGTAGTGCTAGGGACCCTTTGGGTCCCCAGGACCAGGATTCAAGAACACTGCGGAGTATCTAAATTAGATGTATCTAATGCAGATGTCCTTAATGGGCAAGTAATCTGTTCTCAGTAATCTCATCAAGGATATTTACCCAAATTCACAATTGGTTCATATCTTATCGCAACTCATAATTAAATCATAGCTAATATTTTACTAAAATGCTTCTGTACATAATCAAAATTGTAAAGCCCATAGACGGTATGGTAAAGACAGACACACATTGGTTTGAAATAAATGAAAACACTTCAGCCTGTACACATTTTTATATATTTTATTATAAATAGTAAATAGTGCTGCATTTGACACAAGACATATTACAACACAAATCATTTTATGCAGTCATAAATGAAAATGATATATGTATACAAAAGAAACAAGGCAGAAAAATAAATGTGTGATTTCCGCACAAAGGAGTGCTATGATCAGGGATATAACAGAGAAGAGGTGGACTGAATAAATACTAAATGAACGAGAGTGGTATGTTTTATCAGGTCCAATTTACACTTGATTGGACTGTGACTGGTAGCCTGGGCCCGTATTCACAAAGTGTCTCAGAATAGGAATGTTGATCTAGGATCAGTTTTGCCATTTTGATCATAACTAATATGATCATATGGACAGGAGGGACCTGATCCTAGATCAGCACTCCTCCTCTGAGATACTTTGTGAATACAGGCCCTGGTCCCAGATCTGTAACTTGAGTGTATGTAACTCAGATTTATACTCAAATCTCCTATTGAAATCAATGCAGGATTTATGCAAAAGTCCAAGTTACCTGTAGGTGCACAGATCTAGTGTTAGGATTATTTTTGCTTCAAAGTGCAACCCAGCTACCATTGTTTTTGCTCAAAACAATAAGGATTACAAAAAGGATGTAGTCAGTTAATTGAGGAGATTGTTATACAGGGATGTGTCAATTCATTTCATCTGAGGTATGAATGTATTGCACTTCTTTGGGTTGCAGCAGCTTCCATCTACTACTGTATATCTCGCTCTATCATCCTAGTTGGGTGAAAGACTGAGTCAACTGTCTAGAACTTCACTGCCCAGACTTTCACTGTCCAGACCTTCACTGTCCAGATCTTCACTGTCCAGACCTTCACTGTCCCGACCTTCACTGTCCAGACCTACATATGCTTAGAGTCATTTTTACAAATCAAATTGATGGCAGTTTTTCTTCTCCTGATAGAACACATTTCATTTCCCCAAACCATATAAAATAATACAAAGTATCAGCGTGCAGTATGAGACGTTTCCCTAAGACATTGTGAGTGCCATACATAGAGCATTGTGGCTGAGTGAGCGGTGTGCCTATTTCACGTCCATAGATAGATCACCATTATGCCTTAGGATTGTGCCCTAAAACCTTATTTTCCTCCCATCATCACAATGGCCCTGAAAGCACATCCATGGAAGGAAAACTGTTTACCAAGTCCTCTCCCACTCTCTGCTACTTATTACAAATCAAACGCAGAGTGTTGAATGAGTGAATTTAGTTTTTTGTTGGGGTTTTATTCACTCCTTTTTTTGTTTATCCTGTGCCTCTCCTCCTCTTCTCCATTTCGTTCTCTCCTCAAGCGAGGCGTGCTTGGTTTCTGGAGCATGATGTGGAGCGTGAGCGGGGCGAGTGCCAGGTAACTGGAGAGGGCTTCCCCTTTGGTCCTGATTATCCCATTGAGTGAACCCCCCCTTCACATCCCCGAATCCCCAAAACAACCCCCCTCCCTCCATCTCTCTACGTTGTCCCTTCTCTTCAGGGGTGGGGAGGAGGCGGTGGGGGGAGGAAGAGAGGAAGGGGGAGTGCTCCAGAGTTGACTGTCGGGTTGACCAGAGATCTCATCCACTCCTGGCCATGTTGGGGCTTCAGATAATGAAAGGCACCTTAGAGAAAAGGAGAGCGAGATGGGAAGGGTTAGACATTTTCTCCATTGGGTCTCATGTCAGTATATACCTCCAGTGCCAGGGTAACATCATGCCTGATGAGTAAGGAGGTAAATAGTGGGTAAGGGGGTTGAAGAGAGATGGGTGAGGGTGATGGGTGAAAGGGATGAGAGCAGTGAGAGGTGGAGAGAAGGGGGGGTGTAAGGAAGAGGTTGAGAGGGGTTTGAGGGAGTTAAAGAGAGGCAAGGAGTGTGAGGCAGATCTGGGGCTTTCCCCTGTGGCTGGGCTGTACTGTACTGGGGGAGAGTTAGAGTCAGCCTGCCCTGGCTGCGTTGGTCCTGGCTGTGGCTCTGCTCCAGTGATCAATAACAACTCAGACTGCATCTGACCTCCACAGAGACACATGGTTCTAATCCCCGTCTGCCAGAGGCCATTTCGCTCCCCGTTAAAAAGACCCCCTCTCAAACCCACCTTCTACCCTCCCCTCTCTTACCAACAACCCCCTACCCCTGCGAGCTGCCTGCACATGGGTCCCGAGGCCGGACCTCGCCAAATTAATGACATCAATATGCCGCCACTGATGGGCCAGTATAGGCTCCTCAACATGTGGTAGTGTACCTCACCCCCACCCCACTAACTCTACCCCCTCCTCCCCCCGCCTGTCAAACATGTTTTGGGGAAGCCGCTCATTTGATTTGGGGAGGTATCTTCGTTACCCAGGGGTCATTACATGGCTAGGTGAGTGAGCGGAGGGTTTGGTGGTCCAGCTCATCACACGGGTGGTGAAAGGTCACAGGCTGATGGTTATGGGGGAGGCCCCACTGACATACCTCTGTATCGGGCCATGTGGATATATGGCGTGTGTAAATGCTTGAAGGTAATAGTAATGTAAACCGAAGTGCCCTCTGGACTACTAGCCGTGCCTCTGACATACGTGTAATGTCACCGCCTGATTTAAGAGCGTGATTCAAGAGGCTCACCATGCTGGCCTTAGCAATTAACGTGGGTTATGATTCTGACAATCTAAACCTTGAGTATGGTCTTTAATCATAGTAGACTATATACCGGTATATAGAAATGAATGGAGTTAGTATACCTCTAACGCTAATCTAATGTGTCTTTTATACAGGTATTTAAACTTTTTTTTTTATGGCTGAAAATCAATACATTCAAACACAAAAGTGGCCAAAATAACTATACACAAATACTTTTTAAAAAATTAAACGTTACCAACAATCACATGGCTACAATATCATTGCACATAAAACTCTCATGACCCACCTTGCTCTGTCCATACTGTCCGTACTGGTAGGAGGGGTGGTGGTCCATAGCGTAGGCTGGCGAGCTGTAGGTGGGCGGGCAGTAGGACTGGGAGTTGGGCAGGGTGGGCATGCTGGTCAGGCCTGGCAGACCCTCCAGGCCCCGCTGGGAGCCGTGGCAGCTGGCTGCCATGCCACCCCCGGGCTCCATCCCACCGGTCAGGGGAGAGAGGGCAAAGTCACTTTGGTGGCTGGGCTGGTGGGGCACTCCTCCTGGGTTCAACAGCCCCATCACCTGGAGAGACAGAGGCAAGGAGAGAGGTTAGAATGGAATGGATTGTGGTGGGATAGAGTAGAATGTGGTAGGCTTGAATAATAAAATAGAACAGAATAGAATACTTCTTCTCTTACAGGTTACGCAAGTCTCATTTGTTCACAAACAAATGAATAGATAAGTACAGCCCTTACATGGCTTAATCCATGAAGACAAAGGTACACATAACATGTACTGTATATTTTGCACACGTAACACATACTTTTGCTCACGCAACATTATTTTACACACATAACACATACTTTTGTATAGCTCATGCATTGATGTCAATACGACATATGCATGAAAGTTAAATTTGAGCGCTCATATCACGAGTTGGGGTATGTACAGAGTCACACAGTACAGATTAGGGATGCTGACTGTGTCAAAGAGGACGGTGGAGGAAGAAGAACAGGGATTGACTGGTGAATTTACTACAGCAGTAAAGTTGTGTTACTAACCCCCACCGGGCCTAAAAGGATTCTGTCAGTTCGCATCAGAGAAAATGTCTTCCAACTCAGTCTCGAGGATTTTCCAGGAATATATTTGTGAGGACATATTACATTTCTGACATTCTTTGAAGGCTGTTAGAAAATACCTTCAGTCCTGTATGTAACACAAGGAAACATACAGTACATCCGACTATCCATAAAAAAAACTGAAACTATACAAAAATCCCGCAATGCCTTTATGAGCCTTTAAGTTACCTACACTTCGTTGACAGACAAAACTGTACTTTAACCCTATTGATTCTTACTTATCATGACTATGTAACTTGGTTCTGTTATATTATATATCGTTTTTAGAATAATTTCTCCTCTCCTCTCCTCTCCTCTCCTCTCCTCTCCTCTCCTCTCCTCTCCTCTCCTCTCCTCTCCTCTCCTCTCCTCTCCTCTCCTCTCCTCTCCTCTCCTCTCCTCTCCTCTCCTCTCCTGGTTGTGACCATATGAGACACATTATACTGTGTTCACCCAGACACATGGTTCCTGTTACATCATTTCCTAAGTGACGGACGGACAGGGGAGCCCTCGTCGGTTAGGGACCGCACAATTCTGGTCCTCTACACTGCTAGCTAGCATTTTCAGAATTACTCTGTTTAATTTTTACTGTATCCTATGGAATGGAATCGAAAAGGTTGTTGGTGGAGGTTAATTACTATGATACATTTACAGTACCACTTGTTTAATTGTTCATGACACGTTAAATGACATAAACATATTAAAAAGACATTGACAATACAAAACCTATGGTAAATTACTTTTTGATTCATTTTGTCATCAGTGTCTACTAGATAAAGCAGGTGGTGTGTTTAACAGTATGATAAAGTTTATGAATGACCGTTTATGTGTTTGGACAGTATAGTAAAGGAGAAAAACAGACGTGAATAACCTATCCCTCTTTTTCTCTCTCTCTCTCTCTCCCTCTCTCCCTTCCACCCCACCCCCACCCCGCTCTGTCTTCTCCCTCCTTCCCTTCCTCTCTCCAGATTTCTCATTTGATGCCCAAATTCACTGTATCCTTATGGGGCCAACATGGAGAGGCCACAGGGTACGTGGGAACAAGGAGTATAATTCTTTAACACATTTCCAATAAGTGTGTGTGTCTCTGTGTGTGTGTGTGTGTGTGTGTGTTAAGCACTTTCTGTTCCTGATGTTAGGGGTTAAGAGGTCTCCTTGGTGATACATCATGAACAGCTGCATGAGAATTTGCGTGAGAAGAGATATCGTCAAAACGAGGAGGAAATAGGTGGAGTTAATGACCGTTAGAAACGTACAGCAAGAAAAAGAGGGGGAGGGAGAAAGGAGAGAAAGAGAGAGAGACAGAGAGAGAGAGAGAGAGAGAGAGAGAGAGAGAGAGAGAAAAGAGTAGAGATAGACAGGCATGAGAGTGACAAAGGGAGACAGAAGAGAATGGAAGAGTGACATATAGACAGAGAGAGAGAGAGAGAGCGAAAGAGAGACAATACTGTGAGAAATAAACCGAAAGAGACACTTTAAAAAGAAGCAGAGAAAATGTCAGAATGCTGAACTAATGGTGAATAATTGAAGGATAATGGTGTTGCTTCCCCACCTGGCAGCCACACACACACAGACACACAGACACACACACACGCACACACACACACACGCTCAGACAGCCAAACACACACACTTTCTGTCTGAGAGTATGTAATTTACAGGAGCGCTCTCAGAGGAATCTAACCTAACACGTCTTAGGAACATGCTGATGTGTGACTGACTACAAATGGGAAACACATGGAGGTCAACACACCCCATTCATCTTACAGCGTGTGTGTGTGTGTGTGTGTTTGTTTGTGTATGTGTGTGTGCCTGTGCATGCCCATGCATGTGTGTATGTTTGAGTATACATGTGTGGGTTGAGGGTGGAGAAATGTATTTAAATGATTTTTTTGGGAAGGGAAAAGCAAAATGTTAGCATGTTCACAGGGAAAAGCATAGGTAACAATACGTACAGATCATTATTACATGTGGATATTGTACTACTGTCATGGCGAGAGCATTTAACCCATATTTCCTTCAGAGTTGAGATCAGATGAAGGATTAGAGGAAAGATAATAAGATTTAACCCATATTTCCTCAGAGTTGAGATCAGATGAAGGATTAGAGGAAAGAAAACTGTGTACAATCCCATTGATAAGGTTATCTGATCAAAAATAAAACCTGTGTGGATGTTGTGTGCGTGCGTGCATGTGTGTGTCTGAGACTGTTTGTGTATGCGAACTAGGGCTGACCCCATTTAGTCGACTGGTCGATTGTTTGGTCGATAGACTGTTTTTCGACAGAGATATTTTTAGTCGAGCAGTGGCAAATATATATATACAAAAATGATGGCACACGAGACACCTGATTCACGCCTGTCTGAGTGGACTAATCCATTATGGAGGCACACCAGTATCACCACTAGTACATTTACTGATAACTACCATCATTTCTAATCTACAATGTTTGTTTGGTTACGGTAATTTCTGTTAATGCATTCAATATATTATTATTACAGTCTTACTGTTGTCATTGTAGGAGTGGACACGTTGTTTGCAGAGCGCACAACCTAGGCTACAAGTTTTGGTTTATTTCATTCCACTTACGAGTTGTCAATTTATTCATTGTATTTTGTTTAGAGCGCTCCTGTCAATGTTGAGTAAGGACACACAGCTGATTACGCATATAAGTAGGCCTAGGCTACCTGGCCTGCGTGCAAATGTAGGCCTATAAATGTGCCCATTTGGGGATCTGATACTATTTCTGATTGGCTTAACTCACCATCACTGTGTAGCTTCTCAAAGTACTGTTTTCTTCGCCTTAAACAGCAAGTAAACAAAGTATGTTTATACATCCATTGAGAATGACAATAGTTCCTCAACGTAGCCTATTTGAAAAACCTTTCGATAACCACTCAACATGAAAGGGGAAAGAAATGTCATGCTCTGATCCAGTGAAAACTTAATAAAATTGGCCTACCTGATTACTTATTATCCCTTGCGCAAATAGCCTACATCTGTGTCTGTCTGTCTGGAGCTCACTGGCATGGGGAAACTCTGAGGGCCCAGAATATTTTATACAATGTTGCAAATTTGCTAGCACGATCTTCGTTAATAGTTGATACAATGTTTCAAGTTCCTTGCAGACAGGCCATGCATAGCCAATGTGATTCATAGGATATTTATTTTTATCAATGTTTTTATTTGTTAGCTTTATGTAGGTTATTTTTACATATTGGCAATGGCAATAGAAGTTACTTTTAGATTTGCATCATTTTCATTTAGATATAATTTTTATTGATTTTGAGATATGAAGACTTTATTATAAATTAAATGAAACTGTTCCATGAAAATGTGCATTTGAAAATCATAACTGGCACGCAGATCAGTAGAAATGGTACGATAACTTGGCACTCCAAATGGAAAAGGTTTCCGACTGCTGGTGTACCTGTTATGGGCAACTTCAGCAGCGGGCAGCAGGAGGATGAGGGTCGGGAGCAGGTTTATTTTCTTCTGGTTAAGCTATATTGATCTCTGGCTCCCTCTTTAGTAATTTGTCTTAATTTTTAATCGCAGTGCTTAAAGCATCAGACAAGCTCAGTAGCCTACATATAGTTTATTTTATTCATATATGGAAAAATACACATTAAAATGTGACAAATCGATTAGACGACTCTCATCTACCAATATTTTTTTATTTCGGGACAGCCCTAATGCGCATACATATATGTGTCTCAGCCTGTGTTTGCCTGTGCGTTCACATATGTGCATATACTGTGAGCTCCAAAGGTATTGGGAAAGTGACACATTTTTTGCTGTTTTGGCTCTGTACTCCAGCACTTTAAAAATAATACAATGACTATGAGGTTAAAGTACAGACTGTCAGCTTTAATTTGAGGGTATTTTCATCCATATCGGGTGAACCATTTAGAAATAGCAACACTTTTTGTACATCGCCCCCCCCATTTTAGGGGATCAAAAGCGTTGGGATAAATTTGCTTATATGTGTATTAAAGTAGTAAAAAGTTAAGTATTTGGTCCCATATTCATAGCCACAATGACTACATCAAGCCTGTGACTCTACACATTTGTTGGATGCATTTGCTGTTTGTTTTGGTTGTATTTCAGATTATTTTGTGCCCAATATAAATGAATGGTAAATAATGTATTGTGTCATTTTGGAGTCACTTTTATTGTAAATAAGTATAATATAATATGTTTCTAAACACCTCTACATGAATGAGGATGCTACCATGATTATGGATAATCCTGAATCAATTGTGAATAATGATCATTGTGCGTCTGTAACTTTCTCACTAATCAATTATTCACGTTTGTAGAAGTGTTCACCCGATATTGATGAAAATACCTTCAAATTAAAGCTGACAGTCTGCACTTTAACCTTATAGTCATTGTATCGTTTCAAATAGAAAGTACTGGAGTACAGAGGCAAAACAACAACAAATGTGTCACTGTCCCAACACTTTTGGAGCTCACTGTATGTGTGTCTAAGCCAGTGTGTGTATTCCTCCAGCCCCTCTGCTCTGTGATTGAAGCCCCGGCAGTTCCCGGGGGTGTCTCTGTTTCTCGGTGGTTCCGGGGATTAAGCCTCATCGGGGTGCAAAGCCTGGCCGCTTGCTGCACTGGTGAGAACGGATTCCTCTGGTATGCACCGGATCAGCTAGCCAGACGTCTGAGACCCCACACCACAGGGAGCTATCCCACAGTACACTGGGGCAGGCTAGACTGGTCCCCTAAACCTTCATGTTTTACGTTTTACTACCAAACGAAGCACTACCACTCTGAGCATAGGCCGAACTACTCATAGCATAGGGCGATGTATTCTACACCATACAACCAAAGCATGACCATTCACAGAGCTAGAAAAAAACACCACAGGAACTGTTTTTTCACGGACTAAAACCTCAAATAACTTCCAAAACCACCAAGAAGTACCATTCAGCACTGTTTAACGATCAGACAGACCAAAATAACAATATACTGTAACAACCCACTGGGCTAAAAACTGGTTGAATCAACATTGTTTTCACATCATATCAACCCCAAAATTCAATGTGATTATGTTGAATCAACATGGAAAACTGATTGGATTTTTTTAAAGTCATCAATGTAAGGGAATGTTTTATTTTTTACCCAACCAATTTTGGGTTGATTTCCCATTGAATTCATGTTAGTTGACAACCCAACCAAATGTAAATCAAAACTAGACGTTGAACTGACGTCTGTGCCCAGTGGGAATCCACAGTATCGAGGCTTTGCTGTGTAGAGATTGCAGAGTTTATATAGCTTTGTGTGTGCGTTTATTTGGTATGTCTAATTGTAAAGTTTTAGAGGTTTTCATCCAATTCACTACAAATGTCATCAGATTAATTCATTCGTATTCCATCTCTTTTATTATTTCAAAGTACTCACATTAATACCATCCAGTCTGAAATGCAAATGAGCATATTCCAATATGTATTTTTTTTAAAGTGCAGATGAATACATGAATTAAAACAAATTAGTCAACAAAGTGAGTCATTTGCATAAATTACACACCGCATTACTAAGGGATAGATTCCTTCATTCCAATCAATTAGCACACTGGAACGTTTCATAATTGCTATTCCAGACAGACACATACATTCCAGACGTGTGCGTTTGATCGTGCATGTGCACGTGTGCGTGTGTGCCTCCCTATGCAAGCTAAGATAGCCACTCTCTAAAGGAAAGACCCTTTCAGGGAGGCTAACGGTGAAAACAGCTACGAGAGAGAAGCACCTTTGGCCTCCAAGCAGAGTAAAAGTCATCTAATGGATTTGTCCTCCTAGGAGAGAAGAAGGCATCTACTGACCCTTTGTGTGCATGAAGTCTACTCTACTCAAGTGGTGGCTTGTGGCTAGTTAGCACCATATTGTGGAGGAACCAATGTTTGTTTTACTGCTGTTCTCAGTTTAAGTAGTCAATTATCGTCCATTTCCCAAATGGTTTCACGGATCACCAGGTTGTGTTGTCCTACTGTCATTGCTGATGAAAATGACAAGCAGACACACACACACCCTCATGGTTCCCCTTGTCACAAAAATAGAGGAAGATGTGCATGAAGCGTTTTTTTTTTATCTCCACTAAGCAGGACACTGACGGAGGCCTGAGAATCTCTCTCTCTCATGGGGCGAGGACCCAGCATGCATTGCGTGGGGCCGGGCCACCCTTTGTGGCGGTTAAAAGCTAGTTTTCCGCCTATTACGACGGCCCCCTCACCGCGTACGGAACCCGCTATGGACTCTGATGACTGTGTAATCGGCCATAATTGTATTTTCCGTTTTCATTTGTGTCATCTTCCATCTGCCACTCTTCCTCTCACTATCGTCCTCTCTCACACTCCCTCCATCTTCTACTGTCTCCTTCTCTCTCTTCATTAAACATTTCCATAACACAAGTCATCCCCATTGAATGCATCTGACAAATGGATATCAAATCCACTCAGTCACTGAGCTAATACACCTACTGAAAGTTATCTAGAACGAACCCCCGAAACAAGGTTTTTCCATTCCGATGGTATAAAACCTATACTAAATGTCTAATTGAAACCACGGAATCTACATGTTGCAGAGCGGAACACAGGCAAGCACTTCTGTTTGTGTTGCCAGCTACAGTCATGACAGTGAATGACTGACCTGTGGTGAGAGGCCGTTGCTGATGCTGGGGTTGACTGGGTTGGAGTGGCCAGGCGGGGGCACAAAGCTGTCTGAGTAGCCTGAGAAGCCGTGGCGTCCGGAGGACAGGCAGTAGGCCGAACTCCCTTCCTGGGCCCCCGCTGAGGAGCCAAGCCCACCCTGGTGCACTGAGGTAGGAGGGAGAGGCTGAGGCCTGTGGACCGTACTGTGCTGCTCTGACACTGCTGGGAGAGAGTGATTGAGAGAGAGAGAGAGAGAGAGAGAGAGAGAGAGAGAGAGAGAGAGAGAGAGAGAGAGAGAGAGAGAGAGAGAGAGAGAGAGAGAGAGAGAGAGAGAGAGAGAGAGAGAGAGAGAGAGAGAGAATGGATTAGGGCTAGGCTATTGATCTTCAGTCAAATACATCACGTTTGTAGATGAGCTTTGTTGATATAGAACAAGATCATAGAGAGAAGAAGAAGGTGAATGTGTGCTCACTTTGTGAGATGGAGGTCGGAGGGTAGGGGGTGTCTGACAGCTGATAGGGCTGCAAGCTCGACATGGCCGAAGGCGGGAAACCGCCAGGGATCAGGTGATTAAATGCCATTAGCTGATTGGCTCCTGCCTGTTTCCTCCACCTGGCTCTCCTGTTGCTGAACCACACCTGATAAAATAAAATAGATGACATGTGAGAATCTATTCTTTTGAAAAATAGTACATACTGTGTGTGTGTGTGTCTGTGTCTGTGTCAGTGTGTGTGCGTGCAAGCCTGTGTGTTTGTGGGTGTGTGTGCGTGCATGTGTAAATAGGCATGCTTAAAGTGTGTGAGAGTATTCATTGTTTGTGTGTGAGCACTAACAGTATGTGTGTATCTGCGCTGTAGCCTCAAGCAGAACAGACAGATAGAGATCTGAACATCTGGAGCACTTTGAAACCACAGTGACGTTACGTCTTCGTCTAAGTCAGTCACAGGGTTTACATAGACAGGGGTCCCCAATTACATTCAGCCATGGGCCGATTTGTCCTTGAGTGGATGGTCGGGGGGCTGGAACATAGTTATAAATAATTTGTACACGTCAAATTGACCTCAAGAATACCAAACAGTATTTGACAAAAACATAATTATTTAAAATCTTGATCACACTTGGGTACGATGACATACAGTATGACTCTCTATTTATGCGTGGGAATATTTGGGAACAGATTTCCTAAATTAAAATCACTTTGAGCTGATTTCCTGGGGATTTTACAGTCTTTTATGTCCAACATCGAATAAAAAAAAAAATATATATATATATATATATATATATATACAGTGCTTTCGGAAAGTATTCAGACCCCTTGACTTTTTCCACATTTTGTTACTTATTAAAATTTACATAAGTATTCAGACCCTTTACTCAGTAATGTGTTGAAGCACCTTTGGCAGCGATTACAGCCTAGAGTCTTCTTGGGTATGACGCTACAAGCTTGGCAGACATCTTGGATGGGGAGTGTCGCTGCACAGCTATTTTCAGGTCTCGGGTTCAAGTCCAGGCTCTGGCTGGGCCACTCAAGGACATTCAGAGACTTGTCCCGAAGCCATTCCTGCATTGTCTTGGCTGTGTGCTTAGGGTCGTTGTCCTGTTGGAAGTTGAACCTTTGCCCCAGTCTGAGGTCCTGAGCGCTCTGGAGCAGGTTTTCCTCAAGGACCTCTCTGTACTTTGCTCCGTTCATCTTTCCATCAATCCTGACTAGTCTCCCAGTCCCTGCCGCTGAAAAACATCCCCACAACATGATGCTGCCACCACCATGCTTCACTGTAGGGATTGTGTCAGGTTTCCTCCAGACGCTTGGCATTCAGGCTAAGGAGTTCAATGTTGGTTTTATCAGACTAGAGACTCTTGTTTCTCATGGTCTGAGTCATTTAGGTGCCTTTTGGCAAACTCCAAGCGGGCTGTCATGTGCCTTTTACTGAGGAGTGGCTTCCGTCTGGTCACTCTACCATAAAGGCCTGATTGGTGGAGTGCTGCAGAGATGGTTGTCCTTCTGGGAGGTTCTCCCATCTCCACAGAGGAACTCTGGAGCTCTTTCAGAGTGACCATTGGGTCCTTGGTCACCTCCCTGACCAAGGCCCTTCTCCACCAATTGCTCAGTTTTGCAGAATCTTGGTGCTTCCAAACTTCTTATATTTAAGAATGATGCAGGCCACTGTGTTCTTGGGGACCTTTAATGCTGCAGAAATGTTTTGGTACCCTTCAACAGATCTGTGCCTCAACACAATCCTGTCTCGGAGCTCTACGGACAATTCCTTCGACCTTATGGCTTGGTTTTTGCTCTGATATGCACTTCAATTCCATTCAACACCTCCCATCTATCTTTTAACACCATCCATATAGGATTTCTATTTGCCATATATATTTCAACTGTACTGTGATGTCTTACAAAAGTTCTGAACCTTTCTATTCTCATTGTTTCTACAGATTGTGAATTGAAAATAAACATTTTTGCTAATAGTATTATTATGTTATTGATCGATTGACTATGACTTTTCAGATCACCCAGTAGTGCTATCTGCAGGGTTAGCTCCAGGTAAATATTGCAATCCTTTAGCTATTCCTGGACCTGTGTCCAAAAACAAGCTACAAATGGACAGTACCAAAACAAATGATCTAATGATTCTGTCTCTTCGCAATATGTTTAATTTTTAATACATTTGCAAACAAATCAAAAAAACTATTTTTGCTTTGCCATTATGGGGTATTGTGTGTAGATTGATGAGGTAAAACATTTATTTAATAAATTTTAGAATAAGGCTGTAACATAACAAAATGTGGGAAAAGTCAAGGGGTCTAAATACTTTCCGAATGCACTGTATATATTCTTTATATTAATGTTTTTGCTCCGAACACTTGGAGGCCCAGATAAAAATCACCAGCCTGCGGGCCTCCTATTGAGGAACCCTGACAAAGGCTCGGAATCAAACCCATAAACCAATTAAATCACTTTAATGGCTTAATAAAGACTCTCTAATTCTGGATTATTTTTGAGTTGCTTTTTATAGATATATTTTTAGAGAAGATGTCAAAACAGGAAACTTTCATAACTGAGAACACAGTGGGGCCTGTGTGTGTGTGTACAGCTGACTCATGTGACTGATGTCTGGAGGGAGTGAATGGCACCATGCCAGGCCAGTTTAACACCCATATCGCACATATCCCCAGGAATCTCCAGCCCAGCAGATCACAGAGCAGTCACAGACCAGATTGGGCCCCTGGGACTGTGGACAAAGACCTCCAGAATGTGTGTGTGTGTGTGTATGGGGCAGCAGGGGTTAAAGACATCGCAGTACAACTGGTGTGTGTTTGTGTGTGTGTGTGTGTGTGTCTGAGCATGTATGCATGCCTGCCTGTCCATGTGTGTGTATGTGCTTGCCCATGTTTGTGTACTTGTGTGTGTATGTCTGCGTTCTTGCCTGTGTGTGTGTATTGGTCTTCACTAACCTGAACTCTGGCTTCTGTGAGTTTGGCCCTCTGAGCAAGCTCTTCTCTGGTGTATATATCAGGGTAGTGTGTTCGTTCAAAGGCTCTCTCCAGCTCCTCCAGCTGCTCGGCTGAGAAGGTGGTCCTACTGCGACGCTGTTTCCTCTTTAGTGGCAGGCCCGGCTCGGAGTCCACATCCGAACCCTCGTCTGAGTGGCTAGCTGCAAACACATAACAGATAATGGTTATTCTGATTGGCCGGTTGGAAAAACAAAACAGGAAAGCTGTTATTTTGAAGAAGGGAGCAACAAAATGTATTTCTAAGACTTGGAAGCTAAAGTAAAGGCTTGGACCTTTATTAGAGAGACACACAGAAGCAACAGGTGTCAAAGATTTGGGATAAATCCTGCAATGTAATGTAATGACTAGGGCCCAGAGTTTGACTTGAACAGCTCCTGCGGTCAGGGAATAATATATCTAGTTCTCCCCCACTATGATGGGACCTTAGGGCTTTCACAGGGTGGGATCACTTTAAATAGATCATCAACACCTCCTTCTTAACTCCCCACAGGCCCCAGTGGATTCTAAGGTGATCAAAAGAGAGCCCAGAGAGACCAGTAGTCTGTTTAAACATGGATTAAAGGAGTCGTATCCCTGTAGGGCATAGTAGGATATCGGCATTTTGGATGAAAAATGAATCCCAGATTGTGTCTTTTATCTGTTTGCTCAGTTGAGGGCTGCTGGACAGCGGGATAGAGGGACAGAAGGGACAGAAGGACAGAGGGACAGAGGGATATATAGAGAGAGAGACAGAGGGACAGAAGAATATTGAGAAAGACAGACAGACAGACAGAGGGATATAGAGACAGACAGACAGAGGGACAGACAGACATAAGGACATAGAGACAGACAGACAGACAGACAGACAGACAGACAGACATATAGACAGACAGACAGAGGGACAGAATAATCTAGAGACAGACAGACAGAGGGACAGAGGGACATAGAGACAGACAGACAGAGGGACATAGAGACAGACAGACAGACAGACAGACAGACAGACAGACAGACAGACAGACAGACAGACAGACAGACAGACAGACAGACAGACAGACAGACAGACAGACAGACAGACAGACAGACAGACAGACAGACAGACAGACAGACAGACAGAGGGACATAGAGACAGACAGACAGAGGGACGGAGGGACAGAGGGAAATAGAGACAGACAGACAGAGGGACAGAGGGACATAGAGACAGACAGAGAGACGGAGGGACAGAGGGATATAGAGACACAGACAGAAGGACGGAGGGACAGAGGGATATAGAGACAGACAGACAGAGGGACGGAGGGACAGAGGGATATAGAGACAGACAGACAGAGAGACAGAGAGGGCTTTTAAGGCCTAATTCGGCAGAAGAGTGGTGAATGAAGGCTTGAAGCTGAGAGACTGAAGGACTAAAGCAGTGTATGGGGGAGGCTAGCTGTCTATTAAATAATGATTAGGGTCCTCAAACTAGCGTGACAGCCACCCATTGTCCGCCATTACGTGCCTGCAATGCACTCGTCACACACACACACACACACACACAAACATATACACACACACACATGCATCTGTCTGCTGTGTCTAGGACCTCTGATTTCACGCGTTGCTTTTTCTCTATAACAATGTTTCCAACGCAGATGGCTACAGACAGAAAGGGTTAAACTCCACTCCCTTGAGCTCTTTGCCTAAGGGACTTCTACTCATGAAGTCAGACAGAAGGTGGGACAGAGCTTTAAATAGGGGTCTGTCTGAGTCTGTGCTCGTGTCTCATAGACCCAAATGCTCACCTAAAAACTGAGGCAAATAAAGTTATATTCTAGTGATAGTATTACCCATACCAAGTCCACTGCATGTCTCTCAGTGAGGCAAGAGGAAAGGAGGAAAGAGGGAGAGAGACAGAGAGAGAAGAAGGCGCAACAGAGCCTCTTCAACCTCAGGAGGCTGAAGAAATTTGACTTGGCACCTAAAACCCTCACAAGCTTTTACAGATGCACAATTGAGAGCATCCTGTCGGGCTGTATCACCGCCTGGTACGGCAACTGCACCGCCTGCAACCGCAGGGCTCTCCAGAGGGTGGTGCGGTCTGCCGAACGCATTACCGGGGGTAAACTACCCGCCCTCCAAGACACCTACAGCACCCGATGTCACAGGAAGGCCAAAAAGATCATCAAGGACATCAACCACCCGAGACAGTGCCTGTTCACCCTGCTATCATCCAGAAGGCAAGGTCAGTACAGGGGCATCAAAGCTGGGACCGAGTGAATGAAAAACAGCTTCTATCTCAAGGCCATCAGACTGTTAAATAGCCATCACTAGCACATTAGAGGCTGCTGCTGCCTATTGAAATCACTGGCCACTTTAAGAAATTGAACACTAGTCACTTTATTAATGTTTACATATCTTGCACTACTCATCTCATATGTATATACTGTATTATATTCTATAATATTATACTGTATCTTAGTCCATGCCGCTCTGTCATTGCTTGTCCATATATGTATATATATTTAAATTCCATTCCTTTCTAGATTTGTGTGTATTGGGTATATGTTGTGAAATTGTTAGATATTACTTGTTTGATATTACTGCATTGTCGGAGCTAGAAGCACAAGCATTTCGCTACACCTGCAATAACATCTGCTAAACACGTGTATGTGACAAATAAAATTTGATTTGATTTGATATGGTGTGGTTGGATGGTTAATGGAGGTAACCTCTCCTCTATGCTATGCTACTCCTTCTCTTCTGCTCTCTCTCTCCTCCCTCTCTCCTTCCTCTCTCCTCTCCAGATTTAGGTTTAATTAAAAGTAGAGAGCCAGGCAGGCAGGGGAGCGGGGCTCCCGTCTCTTCCATCTCAGTGCCAGCCCCTAGAGCCCAGCAGGAAATGCTTGTGCTGGTTGCCAGTGAGAGCCCGTCCAGGCATTACACAGGGATTTGAGCTCTGGGAATTCTGCTACGGCTCCAACAAGATTTCAACGCAGGGAAGAGCTCTTTATTAGATTCAGACCAGGGGCACCGGACAGAGCACTGAGAGCAGAGAGGTTCATGGGAGATTTGTTGGACGTGAAGAGTAAATATCCATCAGGGCAGAACGTTTTGAGCCGTGATTTGGAATACTGGTCTGGCTGGGACGTTTGTGTTACTTTGACAGCAATGGTGAGGAGAGGTATGGACACAGCATCAATCCTAACTGAAAAACGGATAAAGTATAGTAAATAATTTTTTCTGCCATGAATTTTACATGAACATTTATAAACTATTGGGATGGTATTATGTCCTAAACTACCACTTAGTCTCAAATTCTGCCCCAAAATTATTCCGCCCCAAAAGCAACTGGTCTTGTTACTCAAAACATTCACAGAACAAGAACCTGATTAATTAAGCGATAAACAAGATAAAGACTTAACAAACCAACAAACACATATCATGGTCATCACCATTTAAAGGAAAGCAGAAAGAGAGAAAAGAGGAGAAGACGAGATGAAGAGAGAAGAGAAGGAGAGAGAGAGAGAGAGAAAGAGAGAGAGAAAGCAGAGAAAGAGAGAAGGAAGAGAAGAGGAGATGAAAGCGAGAGGAGAAGAGAGAGAGAGTGATAGAGAGAGAAGGCGGGAAGAGAGATGAGAGAGAGGGAAGGAGAGAGAGAAGGAACAGCACGGAACGGAGAGAGGAGAAGATGAGAGATGTAGCACGAAGAGACTGAGACGACGCGGTGGATGAGAAGGTAAGGATGAGATAGAGATGAAGGGTCGAGACGAGATGAGGGGGGAAAGAGGGCGGGGAGTGAGACGAAAAAGGGGTGGCGAGACGGTGAAGACTCGGATGCAGACCCCCCGTAGAGAGATGATTTAGAGAGGCGAGAGAGGCCGGGCCGAGACTAGGGTTCAAGAGACGAGAGTGGGGAGAGAGAGGAGCAGAGAGGAGAGAGAGAGAGAGAATGATGAGAGAGAGGAGGAGAGAGAGGAGAGAGAGATAGAAGGAGGAGAGAGGAAGAGACAGACAGAGAGAAGAAGGAGAGCGAGAGAGAGGAGACAGACAGAGAGCTGAAAACTGAGAAAAGCTGAGAAAAAAGCTCCCCAGCCGCACTGTATCATGTTAACTGCAGGGTGGGGGCGGAGCACTCCTCTTTTACTCCCTTTCTTTCTCTCTCTCTCTCCACCTCTCTTTTTCTCTCTCCCTGTTTTTATTATTAGTAACTGCCGCGAAAACGCTCCATCACGGCCTCTCTGTTAATGAAAAATGACAGTGTTACTTTTGTCATCCTTTTGGCCTTCTTTCTCTCTCTTTCTCTCTCTTTCTCTCTCTTTCTCTCCATCTCTCTCTTTGGGTGTGATGTGGCCCGGGTTCCTTTGTATGGCGGAGGGGAAAGGCCTGTGGCAGGGCTCTATTGGGCTGATTTCCACGCTCCATCTGTAGGATCCATCAGGGCTGCCCCAGCCTGCATTCAGGGCCCTGTCACCTGCCCAGCAGGGGAGTGGGGGAATGGGGGGCTGGATGGGTGAGGGAGGCGAGGGGGGTGGTGGGGGCACAAAGAGGGCCAGAGAGGGGCCACTGGGGGCTGTGGAGGGGCACAGCAGGGGAGCGCCCCCCCCCCCAATCCCTCCCACCTTCCATCTATAGCCAGAGGGGCATGGGGGTTGGTGGGGGCATAGGGGTTGTGGAGTTGAGAGGATGAGGGGGGTGGTGGTAACTGAGAGGGGACCTGAATGCACCTGGAGAAGATAGACAGAGGTGAAGGGGTGCTACGGAGGGAACGAGAGAGAGGAGAGAGAGAGAGAGAGAGAGAGAGAGAGAGGAGAGAGAGAGAGAGGGAGAGAGGAGGAGAGAGAGAGAGAGAGAGAGGGAGAGAGGAGGAGAGAGGAGAGAGAGGAGAGAGAGAGAGAGAGAGAGAGCGAGAGCGAGGAGCGAGAGAGGAAGTAAATGTATGGTTGCTCTCTACTCTGCTCCACTCATTCTTAAAACTGTCCCTTCCATCACGTCCATTTCCATCACTTCACTTCCCTCTTTCTCCTTACTTACTCTCTCTCTCTCTACACCAACATCCCCCCATCGCCACAACCGCCCGCATTTGAATTTGAGAATGCCAACCACGTTCCGATGCCGTGGCGGATCAAAACGAGAGGGGAACGCCGACGCAGGCGCAGGAACCCAGAGCACCAGGGTTCCCACACATTCCCATCAACAAACGGGAGAAGAGGATACTGAACACACAAAGGGAGGCCTCGACCTCCTCACTTAAACACCCAAATCAAATGTTACGCTGAAGCTAAAGCGCCAGGGTGCTGAAAATACAAAATACTCCATAGTTTGGCTGTGACTCTGACAATAATCTAAATGGGAAAATGGATTATTATCCCTGAGGGGGGAATTGGTTTTGCTGCAGAATTACCCACTAAAATAGACATTAACAAAACAGGACCAGGACGTGTAAGGCCAGTAGATAAAGGATACATTGAATAAGGTTGACAGAGTGACACAGTAAGGATAGATAGATATATAGATTTCAACAGGTAGTTTGTGTTGGACAATGCTTCCCTCTTAAGCATGAAATACACAGAGAATCTCACTGCCGATAGACTGCCAATAGGTACTTATCACAGTGGGAGGCTATTCCTTCTTTTGCTAGAACAAAAGCAGTACCTGCTGCGTCCCGAACTGGTAGCGACGAACCTGACATTTCTACTTGTAGAATCGCAATGCTTGTCAGTGGCCAACAACTTGACTTTGAGCCAATCAGAGAGCATGAACCCCCACGTGAGGGAGTCAACAGGAGCGACAACAAAAAAGGAAAAAAGAGGGCATGAGCCAGTCACAATTATTATGTAATTTAGGCTATGGGATGGGCACTAGCTAAGTGAACATACGCAATGCACACAACATTAAATACTTCCTCCAAGCTAGCTAACCACTGTAGCTAGTATTGACATAATTATTAAATCACAATGGATTAGTTTCCATGAAACAGCTGCCTATGTTGGCTGCCGAGTTAGTGCAGTGTCCTTAGCTAACTAGCTATGTTGTGCCAGCTAGCGAATATGCTAACATTAGCTAGATATTTAAACATTTGGCTATGGGCTGGCACTGGCAGTATGGGATTATGGTGAGTGAATTAAATTGTTTATTCGTCATCTTGCTAGGTAGTTATCTAGCTGTGGCCATCAAGTGCTTTCTACAAAATAGTAACATTAGCGAAGCTAGCTAGCTAGTTAACGTTGGAATCTAGACCATACACTAAGCAACACATTCGGACATGCATTGCCAAACAACGCTAATGCCACCTTCTGGTTTGGAGTATTTTAACAAGGCTGTGTGGCTTACGACTTCAAGGTCTTTGCTGTGTGAACACAAAAGAGATTGACTGCCGACACTGTTCAGAGGTGCTAAGTACTGTCGGCAGGCAAACGTTTGACAATCCTACCGGTGTGTCTGAGCTTTTAAATAATTAGTCTCGTAGATCGATGCATTGTCTATAAAGCCCTCTTGCATAAACTTCCGCCATACCTTACTTCTTTGTTAACCTTCAGACATATAAGTTACCAGACCTGGACTCAGGGATGGCTAACCCTGGAGATCCCTTCAATCTCCACTGAGTCTGCTTGTATTTTTTTTTGCTCCGCTCATGTAGAATCATCTCCAAAAGTCCTTAAAGTTTGTGGAGTTGGTGCCTTTAGGTGGGCAATTCAGACGGATGTCAGAGGGCCTTTTTAACTGAAGAATGTGTTTGTTTCATATCATTGTGTTTTGCTTTTCGAGTTTTGTGTTTGCTTTTCATGTATTGTGTAATTCATGTGTATGTAGATATGTATAGTGTAATTGTTGTGTATTGATGTGTATACAGGGCTCATCTGCGGAAGAGACCGTGGTCTCAGCATGACTCTCTTCTTAAATAAAGGTTAAAAAAAAATACAAAAATGTATATGCTGTTCACACAGAAACCCGCGCTAACACACGTGCGCACACACACACACACACACACAACCACAACGATTCACAGAGGACAGACATTGCCAAAAGCACACACACAAACCTTAACTAAACTAAATGGTTTATGGATCCAGGGAGCAGACAGGCATGGCACACACACACAGACTGTCGCTGTCCATTACGATCACCTCTAGCAGAACTGTATTTAACAGTAGAGGAAAAGCTCCACACAGACCAGACCTCAAATAGGGACTGACTGGGCTTGTTGACTGTGTAGAGTCCAGTGGCCAAGACACACCCTGGCAAGCATTCCCTCTCCACCCTACTCTGAGATGTTAACACGAGGAGACACATCATACACACACATAGTGGCTGACACACACACACACACACACACAGAGAGAGTCACGACTCTCCAATACACATGCACACACACACAAACAAACAAACACACACACAAACACACACGCACACAGAGTCGCCAATATACACACACACAAACACACTGTCGCCAATATACACACACACACACACACACACACACACGCTCTGATTTTGCAATCTCAGCATAAAGACGTAGAATGAGAGAAAGAGAGGGAGAAAAAGAGGCAGAATGAGGGAGACTGATGGAGAAAGAGAAAAGAGATGGAGAAAGAGACAGAGGACTGAGCCAGAGAGAAGAGAGAGAGATAATCCAGAAAGAGACAGAAGGACTGAGCAAGAGAGAAGAGAGAGAGATAATCCAGAAAGAGACAGAAGGACTGAGCCAGAGAGAAGAGAGAGAGATAATCCAGAAAGAGACAGAAGGACTGAGCCAGAGAGAAGAGAGAGAGATAATCCAGAAAGAGACAGAAGGACTGAGCCAGAGAGAAGAGAGAGAGATAACCAGAAAGAGACAGAAGGACTGAGCCAGAGAGAAGAGGGAGAGATAATCCAGAAAGAGACAGAAGGACTGAGCCAGAGAGAAGAGGGAGAGATAATCCAGAAAGAGACAGAAGGACTGAGCCAGAGAGAAGAGAGAGAGATAATCCAGAAAGAGACAGAAAGCTACAGAAAAAGAGAGAGAAGACTAAACAGAGAGAAAGGGTTTAGAGAGAGGGCCATATGGGGCTGTTTATGACGGGGCTGGTCGTAGGGCCGGGCGGCCCTTCCTCTAGGGGCTCTTAATAGAGAGGGTAATTGAGCTGCTGACATGTGTTCCCCTGCACCCAAAACAAAAGGCAGAAGAGACAAATTAACTAGTTATTTGCCCAGGGAAGTAGATCTGGCCCTTTCAGAGAGCAGGACTGGCTGGCCGACTCACTGAATAAAACAGTACATCAACGCCATGGAGGCGTGACAGGGAAAAGCTAGGGCTGGACCCAGCAGATGCACACAGGGTATAATGGTTAACTGACAGCTTATGGCCCCAGCTGGAGTTAACAGTGTGGGGAGAAAAGGAGGAGGAAGAGGGGAGGATGGGGAGGAAGAGGGGAGTGGGGCCTGGCTCTCACTTGACTTGCTAAGGAGCCCCCAGGAGTCTGTTGCAGCTGCCTGGGAATGAGGGAGGGAGGGAGGAAGGAGGAGGGATTGAGCAGGGATGGAGGGCGAGAGAGAGAAGAGAGAGAGAGAGAGAGAGAGAGAGAGAGAGAGAGAGAGAGAGAGAGAGAGAGAGAGAGAGAGAGAGAGCGGGCTGCAGAGATCACACACAAAGAGAGTCAGCGATATGACGTTAAACAGATGTATCACTCTCTAATATAGCTGAAGTGACAAAAAGCCCCAAACAGGGCATTATGTGGACCCAGTGTGGGGCATCTTATTATTTAGTTCCAGTGGGGTGGAATGAGGTGACAGTTTCACGGTGGCATTGCCACCCCCAGAGAAGGGACAAAGCAGCGGCACAGCACCCATGCAGGGCCACATGAACAGGCCAGTCTGCCACACGCTCCCCTCCAGCACTGACCCAAACCAGCCCAGCCGCCCAAGTCACCCACTCCCCAGGTGCATAATCTGCCTAGTGGGCCTACTCTCACAGTCTCACACCAAGCAACCACCAGCATCATTCCAAATAACTTTAGCTTTACACATCCATGCAATAATATTAAAAAAAACATACAAGGTTCCTATAATATTGGATGTCTATGTAATATGTTCTATAGCCCAGAGGAATGGAACGGGAGTCCATTAGCTGTCATGGTGAACTAAATATTATTCTAACCCTCTCTTCCTGACGTGGAGATTGTTTTAACAGGCAGTGACCCTAAGTCGCCCTCTGACCCTGCCAAACTACAGCCCCATGTACTGCCGTAAAGGGGGTGGGGGGGGGCAGGAGGGGAGTGGAGGTGGGCTACTGACCCCTTTACAGGCCAACATCACCCCTCCACAAAACTTCATAGGCAGTGAACGGCCAGAGAGTTCAACCACCGTCGCATTCCTCAGTTTCTTTTCTTTTCCATAACAAATTCTCTAGGCTGTGATGTATCTTTCTTTCTGTTTCTCCCTTTACTGGTTAGTCTGTCTGTCCTGGTTTCTTTATTTTAACATTCTGATATTTTTTGTATTTTATTAAGCTTATCTCATAGTGCTGAGAGAATGTTCAGGTCTAATTGAGATGCACAAATACTGATGCGGAAAAAAAAGCAGATATTTTTATTTTGCTCTTTCCGTGAGAAAACACAACTAAAAAGAGCAAGGAAATTACTCTACCGTGTCCATTCCATTCTACGCTGAACTAAACTGCTCTTAAAAAATAATAAAAAAGCGAGGCTAAACAAAGTTAAGTGATTGACAACGCTGTCTGGCTTTACTCAATTAACTATCTCATTGTATCGAAACCTTTTTTACCAGAACTCCCATCGCCCTTCACCCCCGACCTCATTCTCTCCTAACTCCTTTATCCTCAACCATCACAGAGTTTTGCTTAGCTAATACTTCCAAGGAAATAGAGAGCTCTCCTTGACCTTCTATTGGTCAGTCTTCTCTTCTCTCTTCTTCTCTCTTTCTCTTTCAGCCACTTCAAACTGTCTCTCTGGGCAGTGGGGAGAATGTGACGGAGTCCATCAGCGACGAGAGGCAGGCCCAGGGCAGGACCCCGCTCCCTCACTTCAAAGTTGGCCTGCATTCATTAATTGTCCTTTGAATTAATATCACGGTGCTCACAATGCTGTGCCAGCACAGAAAGAGGATTTAATGAAGCATAGAGCCTGTATTCACTTGCAGATAAACCAGTGTGGATTTTCTTGAGAGTGATGCTGTGACGTAGGCTAAAGTAAATGTGGTGTGTATAGCCAGGGTGAGAGGAGATAAATAAGGGAGTGAATAGGGAGGGAGATGCTTTTGAATGCACCGCTAACATACACTACATGACCAAAGGTATGTGGACACCTGCTCGTCGAACATCTCATTCCAAAATTATGGGCATTAATATGGAGTTTGTCCCCACTTTGCTGCTATAACAGCCTCCACTCTTCTGGGAAGGCTTTCCACTAGATGTTGGAACATTGCTGTGGGGACTTGCTTCCATTCAGCCACCAGAGCATTAGTGAGGTCAGGCACTGATGTTGGGCGATTAGGCCTGACTCGCAGTCGGCGTTCCAATTCATCCCAAAGATGTTAGATGGGGTTGAAGTCATGATTCTGTGCAGGCCGGTGAAGTTCTTCCACACCGATCTCGACAAACCATTTCTGTATGGACCTTGCTTTGTGCACAGGGGCATTGTCATGCTGAAACAGGAAAGGGCCTTCCCCAAACTGTTGCCACAAAGTTGGAAGCACAGAATTGCATAGAATGTAATTGTATGCTGTAGCATTAAGATTTCCCTTCCCTGGAAGTAAGTGGCCTAGCCCGAACCATGAACAACAGCCTCAGACTATTATTCCTCCTCCACCAAACTTTACAGTTGGCACTATGCATTGGGGCAGGTACGTTTCTCCTAGCATCCGCCAAACCCAGATTCGTCCGTCGGACTGCCAGATGGTGAAGCGTGATTCATCACTCCAGAATCGAATGGCGGCGAGCTTTACAGCACTCCAGCCGACGCTTGGCATTGCGCATGGTGATCTTAGGCTTGTGTGTGGCTGCTCTGCCATGGAAACCCATTTCATGAAGCTCCCTACGAACAGTTCTTGTACTAACGTTGCTTCCAGAGGCAGTTTGGAACTTTGTAGTGAGTGTTGCAACTGAGAACAGAAGATTTTTACGCGCTATGTGCTTCAGCACTCGGCGGTCCCGTTCTGCGAGCTTTTGTGGCCTACCACTTCGCGGCTGAGCCGTTGTTGCTCCTAGATGTTTCCACTTAACAGCACTTACAGTTGACCGGGGCAGCACTAGCAGGGCAGAAATTTGACGAACTGACTTGTTGGAAAGGTGACATCCTATGACAGTGCCACATTGAAAGTCGCTGATTTCTTCAGTAAGGCCATTCTAGTGCCAATGGTGATTGCATGGCTGTGTGCTCGATTTTATACACCTGGCAGCAACGGGAGTGGCTGAAATAGCTCAATCCACTAATTTGAAGGGCTGTCCACATACTTTTCTATATATACAGTACATTCTCTAAATATGGTAGCCAGGAGAATCTGGATGTCGCTTACGATTTTATAAAATGGTTCGCAGGAAACGACACACTACGGAAGTTAAAAATAAGCTACAACTTCTAAAAAGGGAACTATCACTTTAACTTGATCCAAAAAACACCAGGAAACATCCAAGTGGAAAAAGTTAAGACCAAACACATAAGTTCATCATAAATGTGTATCACACTAAACTGCTTCTATGTTTGACTACTTGTGGTGACACCTAACACCAAATGATCTAGGATACATCACTTATTAATCTATTAGTGTGAATTAAAAACTCTCAGCCCTGAATGAATTCTGATCACTCCATCCAACATCAATTTCCTAGAAACAGTTGCTATATTCCAGGTATTGTGGATTTGGATTTGTGGTGTGGCATACTGATACAGTACAGTTCCACTGGCCAAGTTAAGTTGGGTTTAAATAAGTAGTAATAACCCAGGCAGGGAGACCGCCAGTGATCATACACAGAGTCAAGACCCAGCTATTTCTCTTCTCTATCCCACTGCCTGGATTTCTCTACTGCTCTGCCTGGAGGTAGCGATGGAAAGTAGTCTGTAGAAAACATTCCACTGGTCGCAATGAGGCTCTGTTGTTTGTTATGACTGGAGACAGTCTCTCCTTTCTCCCTCCATCTCTCTCAATCCCCCTGCTTCACTAAGACAGCGTAAAAATGCCCGGACCGCTGACAAATATACAACATTATAGAAAATCAATGTCTATCTTCTCTGAAGGTTTCCCCTGTTCTGTCTGTGGGGGTATTGGTGTGTTCCTGACATGGTTGGCTATTACTGACTGTGTGAGAGACATAGGTTTATTGAAATTTTTAAATGCCCTGGGAGAATAGGCATTATGAAACATTCTAATTGGTTTATAGGGTTTGTGTATATACACTTAGACAAATCATATCGGTCATTGATATGATTCCCCATAGATTTAGCTTCAACCGAATGATTGCAGAGTTTGCATATTACGGTCTATGCATGCAACGTTTAAAAATGGCTCTCACTTATTTTTTGTTTCTCTGCTGTCTCTCTTTCCCGCTACTCTTTCCCCCCCCCCCCCCCTCTACTCTTTCTCTACTCTCTCTCTACTCTCTCTCCAAACTCTCTCAGTCCATGCCAAAGTAGTGGGGAGCCAGTTTCCCCACTTTATTTACACAAACAAAGTCCTACTCAGTTTCTTTGACAAAAGCAGCTAAATCTTTCATGTTTTGTCAGCACTTGATTCCTCCTGTCCCCCTGGCTATTTGCCTGCCCCAGGACAATGGAGCCAGGAGAATGGGAGCAGATTTTGTGAATGCGCCTCAATGAAACCAATTATTACATGTTGACTGCGTTCACCATGGCAGATTTGAAAGAACTGGGCTTATTCAATTTGGCACCACGGGATTCCCTTTCAAGATAAGTTATCCCTTTGACTGTTTGTATTTCTGAGCTTTTCTTTTTTCTCCCCCTCCCTCCCTCCCTCCCTTCTCCTTCTCTCTCTCTCTCTCTCTCTCTCTCTCTCTCTCTCTCCCCCCCCCCCCCCCCCCCCCCCCCCCATTGTCATAAATGGAATCCGCAAGAGTAGGCTACTCCTCTTTCATGACTTTGGTTATTTTAATTAGCTAAATGAGGCTAAAGGGGTGTCCGTTGGTGTTATAGTCATATACAGAGGAAGGGGGTGTCATTCATTAGGAGGCAGTTAATGTGCCAGTATTTATTGATTAATTAACATTAAACCATTCATTCAGTTTAGGAGGCCACATCCATGCCAGTATCCTTTATGGAATTTGCTCATGCAAGACTGACAAGGTTGAGCACTCTCTGCAGACAATTTTTGCACTAAATGAATGTGTTCATACTAATGGAAAGTATTTACTATGTCCCCAATTTCTGTTATTTATTTTCGAACTACTGTTAAATAATTGGTCAATAACCATAATATTCTTAATTATATATAAATAATAGAATTTATACATTTAACATTTTATTTCCCCTGAACTCAACTATTCCTCTTAAACAGGAAGTGCAATCGTTTAACATCAGATTCATTTCCTGATTAAAAGCGCAACATTTACAATTTGCTTGGGGGCATCCTTCTCCCAGAATACTCTAGGTGCCCTGTAATGTCATGCAGATCTAGTAGTAGCTACCTGGTCCCAGTATAGCTACTTTATCCCACTGAACTCTAAAGTGGCCTTTTCCCAGACAAATAAATCTAAATAGAGAAGCTTTGATCTCTGCACTTAAGGGTAGCCAACAATGGAGGCAGAGGAGAAAGAGGCAGAGTGCAACAGTCCTCTCTCCCCTGCAACAATAGCCTCTACAAACACCTACTTAATCAATATTTGGCCAGAAGACACCCTCTCCATACCCAAGACAGCCTTTTCACATTCTAATGAAGAGCTTTAAAGGAAAAAGAAAACAACAAGATCAACTACTTCCACAGACACACACAAGAGGATAAGATAATTAAATATGGCCATTGCAGACTGAGGGAAAAAGGAAAGTAATCATTGGACTGTGTTTGAATTGGAATATAATTCAGTAAACAACATTTCAGATATGCCATTATCAACACTTGAGTTTGCTCTGAGTTAATGAGTTAATGTAGTCATTATGGACAAGATGAAGATGATTATTCTGGCAATGTAACAAGAGGTCCAGGTAATGACTGAAAGAAAAATACCTACAATAATTATTCCCAAAACACTTAACTATTTTTCATTGATCTAGATAACACATAAAAACAACAACGTTTAGTCCATTCAGGCGTTTGGCATATTTTTAAATAAATAGGCTGTAAATCATATTGTGATACATCTATAGGCCGTAATAACAATTTAACATCACTTGTTGTGCACACTTGTTGCAACGTTTTATCATGTCTGGCTGTTCCTAACTTACAATATCTATATCCGAATCATATGCCTAACTCACAATATATGCAAGCCTGTATAATCAATCTAAACAAGGCATCATCAGCACGAATAGATAACAGAGAAAATTGAGGGGGATAATATCAGATATCGAAACACAATCATCATCGAAAGAGCACTATCACATCTCCATAAATGGGCTATTGATTGTGGTGGACAAAGATACAAGCCTGTAAATTATTTCCAACACCGCAGGAAAAATATTAACCAAACTGGGAGAGTACATTTAAAAAGGTGAATAAAGTAAACTGCCTATCCTGATCTGTATTCGCGATGCCTCGCCTGGAAAGAGGCAGGAAAGCGGCTATAGATGTTGCATGAATGCGCGCGCCCCGGGCGAAGAGGACTGGGCGGGCTTTGTCCCTAGATGAAAGTGGGAAGAAATAAAAGGTTTGAGTTTAATCTACTAGAAAAGGTTTGCACTGCGATTACTGATGTAAGGAGTAGTAAGGAGTAGTAAGCAGACCATGCCTCCTGCGCAACGATTGTAAACACATGCGTAAAATAGCGATAAGAAAGGCGTAATCATTTGATGATGCTTGAAAAAATTGTTTAAAAAAAAAATATATATATATATATGTTTGCTTAGTCTAGTTCTTTAGATATGTATTTGCTATAAGTGAAACGAAATTAATCCCTCCAAAAATGTTAAAGCAGGCAATGTGTCCCTTCCGAAACCTTGTTATGAATTTAGAATAGGCTATGCTCACATTTCTAAAATGGTATGTTTAAAAAAGTCCGTTTATGAAAGTATAGCCTACATTCCTGAAAACCCAACAGGTCACCAAGCAACAGGTGTTTGGGGAAAATCCAGGTCATAGGGAGAGATAGGATGCTGTCTCTTTCTCTGTGAGTCTGAATAGCAAACGCCATCTCTTGATGCTAAAAAAGACTCCAAATGAACATTTTGTAGGTGAAAACGGCCATTTTCTCTCGGCGCGCAGTCTATAAAACGGGCCGGAGTTGCCTATTGGTGTTATCTGAATTATTCATCGCTCATTGCGGGTCCATAATGTCTTCTCCCAGCCTTTTGTCAGCGCATTTTTTTCTCCCTTTCTCTCCACATTTTGAAAAGCTTTGGCGTCTTTTTGTACACCACTGAGCCGCTTGCTATAGCAGGCCTTTGTGAGCGTAAAACCGAAGTGTGAGTCTCAATAGACTCTCGAGCCTTTGTCCCCCAAGTTCATCCTCAAGTGTCCGATTGTGTGCGGAGGAACCGTCTTATTTTATGGGGGACGGAACAGTTGGGCAAATGTTTGATCAACTTCATATGGAAACGTTTGGCTTTTGTAAAAGTTTCGTTTAGTTTAAACTCAGGCATGCAACTCAAAATTCCATATTCATAAAGTTTGGCCTATATTGCAGAAAACTCCACCAAAATAGTTATTATTTTCAAATGCTTAAATATTCGTGTTTTTTTTGTCAATATCTATCTCATATCTGCACAGCAATCATTCTGCTTGACAAACCAACCACAATAAAAAAGTTAAATGCAGAGTCACGCGTCCAGAAAAATAATGTATTCTGCTAAATGACTAAAATGTAAATGTAAATGTTAAACAATTGAATTATTTAATTAAATAGTAATGGTCCATGATCATATTTCCATTTATCAAATTATATGGGTATTCTAATTCAATTCTGCATTGTTTCTCTGTACATTATGTACGCCGGCCCCATCTGAATTTAGTGTAATATGCAGGTTATCTGCTAATTCAACATCTTCAAGAGAGAACGACTCATTTTTCATATTCTCAATTTCTCCCAATTTTAAACTGTCTCAAGAGGCCAACGAATAAACCAACTTTTAACAACTTCTAAACAACATCTCAACATATATTTTATCACAACCAAATATAGAAAATTGAGAGGAAAATAAGCATTCCATACTTCTGAAATAAAATGAATTTTCTAAACCAAAATTGCCCCCTTGTCCAACAGGGAACCCGTGGCCTACAGGCCTGTGCCTACTCAACATCGGCAACGCTTTGCACTGCTTTTGATTAAAACCGTTACTCACATCTATCCCCGAGGATGCCATCGATGCTGTGTTTCGCTCGTCTTTCGTTCTCTTCCAATTCCCTCTTCTCTATTTCATCATCGTCCTCCTCGTCTTCTCCTCCAACTCCCCCGAATTTACAACGCATGATACGGCTGATTGAACTCACTTTGAAAGTAAATATATAAATGATAAATTGTTGGTAAAAAATCATGCTTGAATTGATGAAAGTGCCAACATCCAATGCATATTGCCATAGCACCTGTTGATTGGTTTTCATCTTGCAATAATGTTTCACAATATTCTGTTTATATCTGGCAAACTTTTTCAAACTTTCAGAATGTTTACGGCTGTTGGAATAGGGGTGTCATTCTTTCATGCATTTATGACTTTTGTAGACTTATAGGCTATCCTCCTCTCCTGCACGTTTTACTAGGCTTATGCAAACGTATAATATTATTGTAGGCTTATACGATTTCAGGTAGCCTACATTTACATTTTGGTCATTATGCAGACGCTCTGGATAAGATCCTTACAATATATTTTTTGGTTGGAGAACTTTAAGTTATACATTATTTATAAATTATTCGAACATTTTTAAATACCTGAGGGGATGTTGTTTCTGTCACAGATCCCGTCTTTGAGTAATTTATCCCTAATTTCCCAGCTGAACATGCCCGGGTTGTCTCTCTTGTATTCCTCGATCTTCTTATCCACATCTGGGGTTGTTGTCTGCTTCAAGTGGGAAGGATGTAACAACAAAAAAATCAGTAGGCCTATGATTGCTACTGCAAAATGTATTTACTTTTTTTCAAACTAAATTAGGCTACAAGGGCTATGTAGGCCTAATAGCCTATACGGTTTGTTGAGTTTTATCGTTTACTTGATCGTTTTCAAAATCCATGTTTTGACTGTCTGTATTAACTCAAATTGTGTGAGTTAATATGGTGCTAAAAGTGCGCATAAAATAAGGCCTTATAAATGAAATATGTATTCGGAATAATGAATAGCATATGACAATAAATTATAGCCTACCAAACTGTAAATTATGATATATCCTTTTAGTTTAACGGCCTGTCATCCCCAATTACATGTATCTTGTTAGTGGCATGTTGAGGTGCAGGCCATAAAGTTGGGCTTGACCGAGACATTGCTGCTATATAGTCCGGTTCTAGGGTCCTCACCTTGGGTTTGCTGCCTCCGATGGCCCCAGGCCTGATGGAGCCTGTCTCCTGGTACCGGCACAAGATTTTCGACACGCAGCCATGGGAGACTCGGAGCTGGCGGGAGATGACACAGGGTCGGATGCCGTGGTGTGCCATCTCCACGATCTTGTGGCGGATGTGGTTGGGCAGGGGTCTGCCGTTGATAAACATCCCACCGAGCTGGTTCACCCGGCCCTGGCCTAACGGGGTAGAGACTGGACAGAGGGAACGCATTTCATTCAATAACAATAACTTCAACAAAAAAAGTAAACCACAGCAGCAAAAAAAAGCCCAAACAATCAGGCCTATATTTATTTATTTAACCTTTATTTATCCTATCTCAGTGAGAGGGGCTATATTTTTCAAGAGAGACCTGTTGCAAGAAAATATATTGATAACATACCATTTGAACTCGGTCTATAGCAAAATGTTTAATTGTTATTGTTATTACATGGGTTAGACCTAATTGATGGTGCACAATGTAAATCAATATCAAATGTATAACACGAGCATTGTTGTTGTTTTGATATTAGCTGCTACTACGTCAATTCAACTGAACCAGGGATTGCTACAAACTGTTTATAGCCTAGTAGGCTAGTGTAGGCTATTTAGTTTCCAATAAGCTGCCTACAATTTTAGGGAATATAGCAACTTTGATTCACTGTCAAAATGCTAGGTCATGTGTAGGCCTAATTGTCTGTTAAAAGGCAACACTAAGACAATTATTTATATACGAACAACAATTTTGCAGCTGTTCAAAGTTGACACAATATCAACACTTGATTTCTGATTAAATCAATGACAAACAAACAAAATCTTCCAATACGCAAGAAACATAGCTTACCTTCCAGTGAGTAGCCTCCCCGCGGGTAGTTTTGGTGTGGGTTCGGGCGCATCATCCTCGGTATGCCCCCCGCTAGTGCTGTCATGTCTCCTAAACTTCCGCCAACGAAGCTTTGCTCTGGACCAAATCAACACCAACTCGTGAACTTCTGAAATATTCTGGGATCCACAAAAACGTATAGCCTATAGGCCTACACTTTGGCTTCGATGGAGCAGCAGGACAGCCTCCACGGGTTGCTTCGTCAAAAGAACAACATGCAACAAAAAACACAAGTGAAATCCTTGGAGAATGGTGCATTCGTCGATATCCAACGTGGAGTGTGAAAATATTGACAAAGCAATGTTTGCCTCTGTTGAAATTGAAGGCCGCTTAGTTGGAGTTGTTGTTGACACTGTATGTGAATTGAGAAGATGGGTGGAAGCGAAACATTTTATAAGTTGTTGCTCTCCTTTCTCCTCAGTCCTTCTAGGCCTCTGATTGGCTTAGAAAGGCGAATATACCGGGGGGCTGAGGGTGCGTTTTGATTGGCCGACTGTCTTCTGTAGTGACCTCACGGGTTCAAGGCGTTGTGTCTTGAGTCTTGTGGTGCCCCCGAGCTTTTGCTTTCACAGAATCTGATCCACGATCAGCCCTCCAGTCATAAACGGTATAGGCTATATGGTCCAACCATGTTGATGGATGAAGATGCGCCTTTTAGTGAAGGCTACGCTACCCCCTGTAAGTCACCAGTCACCAATGTATTACTTTATTATGTTGGGACTATTTCATAACAGCATTGCACATGCACCATTTTCTGCCTGTAAAAGAACACACAAACACACAAACACAAACACACACACACTCACACTGTTTGCTATGCACAGTGATTCTACAAACAGGAATTGATTGTAGTATTTAGACAGTAATGCACTAATTAGAATAGAAGGAGCACTGCACGTTCGACCCAGCAGGGTATGACGCCGGGAGTGCAGTAAAGTTGTCTGTAGCGAAAGAAAGTACAATTGTGTGAGACATTATTTATAACTTCATGAGTGTCAAATGCCCCCCCCCCCCCCCCCCCCCCCCTTCTTCTCTTTCTCTCTCTTTCTCTCTCTCTCTATCTCTCTCTCGCTCTCTCTCGCACACGCGCGCGCATTCGCACTTGCACACGCACACACACGCATGCGTGCACACATGCACACGCACACAGACATCCACCCAGCTAACACATATGGTTTCTTGAAAGTTGTGGGAACGTATGTTTTGGATTTCACATTGGTTGTGGGAACGAATCCATATGTTTCCTGACTGTTAAAACGGAACGTTTTTTAAACATTCTGAGAACAGAAGTGAACATTTTGCCTGTTCTGGGAATGTTTATTTTTAGGTTGCAGGGAGGTTCTGAGAATGTTTTACTCTGGTTACTTTAACGTTTTCCTGGGAGGTTTTATTAATGCTCTGAGAACGGTTTTTGAATAACTTCCTTAAAACTTTCACTGAATGTTTCAATAAGACTTTTAACAACACTGCTAGCTTATTTTGGGTTAACTTGTTTTAACTCCAAGCACAGATAGGACACATGGAAATTAATTTTGATTGGCATTAATCATGCATGCACATTTCTTTTTATTGTGACACGGAATCAGTGCGATTCAAACCTATAATCTTATGTTCTCTATCCATGGAATTACTCCACTGCGCTATGAGGATGAAGCTAGCATGCTATGTTTTTTAAGCATACAAAGCTGTTAATTTTTGTCTATTCAAACAGAACCCATTTCAAAGGAAACAAGCACTCATTATTAACATCAGGTGTGGCCAATTAGTGGGCGTGACAAACACACCTGAACACACTTAACAAGATAGAGGCTAGAGAGAGTTTTGTTGATGCTGAGGACTGAATGTATATGTTTTTAAATAACATTCGTTGAACGTTCTCTGAAACATTACTAACGTTTTCTTGTGGTTTTTATGGAACGTTTTCTTCAAGTTCTGAGAACGGAATGTTGGTTTTTAAATACCATTCATAGAATGTTCTCTGAACGTTACTATAGTTTTCTTGTGGTTTTTATGGACGTTTGCTTAACGTTCTCTGAAGAATTTGAGAACATGACTTTAAATAGAACCATGAGGAAACTGGTAGTAAACGTTATGGTGAAGTAGCCTACTGAAATTCCCATAGAAGAATGTTGTTTCTTAACTTTCTTGGAACAATTTGAGAACATGACTTTAAATGGAACCATGAGGAAACCTGTAGGAAAGAGTATGCTGAAGTATTGATATTCCCACAGAAGAACATTGTTTCTTAAAGTTCTCTGAACTTTTTGAGAACATTCCCAATGTCAAACCAGTTGGAGAACATTCCTAGAACATTACCAAAATTGAAATGAAATGTAATGGAACGTTTAGGAAAGGTTATGTTAAAATCCTTAGGAGTCTATTGACGCACCTGTGAGTCAATATAATTAACATAACAAAAACATCCCCTTCAAAATCTGTCAGTTTAAGCTAGAGATATCTGTTTTTTTGCATGGGCTGCGTCTCAATCCACCGCATCTGCCTATGTCGGCCTTCCGCATCTGTGGTGGAAAGTGGCAGAGCTACAGCGCTGTTTGTCAGAACAGGAGACATCCCGAAAATCGGACATCTGTAGCGACCCCCACAAGCCCCATGGGACTCGTCTGACGTCGGAACCGTTGATGTGCCAACTTCTATTTGTAGCATCTGAACAGTTTGGGCTACAAACTAATATTTTTTACATTTACATCATTTAGCAGAAGCTCTTATCCAGAGCGACTTACATATGTCCCCACTATGGAAAGGGGGGACTCCGTTTTGCTCTATGATCCCCACAAATGTCACAGGACTCATCTGAAGGTAACCCGGTACCGGTTTAAAAAATGAATGGAAGTATGGAGGTAGTTTTGTGGCAACAATAGAAAGGGGTTAAATATGTGTCAAAAAAACGAAATCCCCCTCCAGCTTAGACTTTTAGAGGTTAAAGTAATGAAATACCCAAGAAAATAACATTTTTTTTGTCAAGTTCCTTAATTCCTTAAATGTGCTGAGAATGTTCCAAAGCCAAGCAACTATCCTGCACCATTCCCAGAAAGTTGTGGGAAGGTTGTACGCAAAATAACCATAGGACCACAACGATCTCACCTAGCTCTAAGAAACATATGGTTCTCAGAATGTTATGTGTGCTAGCTGGGACTTGTTCCCCATTCAGAAGTCTTTGTGGAGGCTCATTGAACAAGTCATGTCAGTCAAAAAGCTTCTCCCATTCACCACTCCAATCAATCAAAGGTATGGAGATCATTCCAAGCGAAGCCTTTGAGTTCTAACAAAACAACGATTTTTTCCCCTCCAAATTCCACATTGACACTTACCCTAATATTAGCCTACCCACCAATTGTTTAGGTCACATTTCCAATCAATGAACTGAACGAAAATACAGTTTTGTTTTAGGATACTTATTAGAGAGGTGTAGGCTACTTACTTGTGAGAGGTCGTGGCTGTTTTGGGGCCTGGAATATAGTAACCGATCAACAATTCATAATCACGTGGGGGGGGGGGGGGGGGGGGGGGGGGCAACATGTCAAGGCATATCAGTTGATAGCAACTATTAAAATATGCTATTCTGTGTGCTTTTATAGGCCTATAGGAATAAGGTTAATCCCAACGTATTGAGCCCTACAACATAACGTTACCCTGGTTGACATTCACCACAGTTTAATTTTGTTGGCAAAAATACTTATATGTATAAACAACAGAATAAACAACAGAAAAGTTCGAGAGTGGTTTTCCTTTGGAATATTGGATGGCATCATTGCCATCTTCACGTCTCTGTGTGCGCACCCGGGCGCGCTGCGGCCCTTAATAACCGGTGATTATGGAGCGTCGCGGTCCCAGGTGCTCCCTAACCGGATTAGGGCCGTCACCGTGGCGCTAGGAGCCGCCACACCACGGGCAAGCTGGAAGCTCCACAAGGGAGAGCGTCATTAGTTATGATTTTAATTGACATTGCTGGAATAGCTGAACAATAATAAATGCTTCTGATGAGTAGGCCCTATGCCTAAAGCCAATCATAGCCTATTTGCATAATGGTGTCACCTTTTTATTAATGACAATAATTTAGGCCTACGTCGTTTTTAGCAATGTCCTTGAGGTGTTCAAAAAGAGCAATTTATTGTTTCTTATTCATATTTCTATTTCTTTAGAAATAAATGGGCTATTATTGTTATTATAATAATTATTGTTATTGTAGTCCTTATTATTATTATTATTTAATAATAACCATTTGTATTATTAACTTTTTTCTCACAATGATAACAACGGAGATAAACTAGTAGTCTTAATAATCAATGTTAACTTTCTTATTGAATAACCATTACTACTAATACGTTCAAATCATTAAGATAATACTTGGACCATAATAAAGTTAGTTTTTGACTAATCTTTTAACCATGTGGCTGTCGTGTTTGTCACCTGAAATCTAATACATCTAACAGAAGTAGAATTATGGTAAACCAAACGACATCTTAGAGATGGAAATGTGGATTCCCACAGTTAATGAAGGCCTGCATTGACATTCAGCTTTTTGGGAACCGAAAAGACTCTTCCAAATGTTTTCTTTCTACAGGAACGCACGGACAATGGAACGCAGGAGGGAAATATGGTTTGGACACGGGAGTCCTTTCACGTGCAAAGGGAGGAATTGCTCTCTTTCTCTCAGAGTTCCAACACAGAAGTCTACATGCGGAACTTCTTCCATGGTATCCTAATGGTCGACTAATTCAACATTAGGACCATGCATGACCCGCGGTTCAATCACACGTTGGTGAAACACATGCGTGCAAATGGTCGATTATTGACACAGAGACATGAGAGTTTATTTGACTGTTTGTAACCTTGTTGAACTGTGACAATTAGCTATGTTTGATGGTCAGAGGCATATGCTGCTCAGGCATAGGGCCTATTCCAAATAGGTCAATGGAGAACGTTAGGCTATTTGTGATGATGAGGATTGTTAAAACATTTGTTGGTAGGCTACAATGTACTAATATGGTAAAAGTTATATAGATTTGTCACAATATCTGATAATAC